GTGATTAAGTCAGAACTGAACTGCCTCTTCCTTGTGGCAGTGTTTTAGTTCTTCTTAACTTTTCTCCTCTATGGCTTTGTGAGATCCTGAGCTGACTTCTGTGCCTCTTGCTTGTCATAATGTAATAGGATTTCTTTCTCCATTTCCTGCTCTTTCAAAATCAGTTACTTTATATTCCTTACATTTGACAGTCCTAATGTGCAAACCATTTCTCGAGTTAAATGGAAACATTACTTTCAAATTTGTATTTCTAGGTGAATTAAGCAATGGCAATATTAACAATACAGCTCTTTGTGAAAAGGTTGCAGCTGCAAGAAAGATCCAGTCTTTTTATAGAAAGTATGAAGTCCACCAGAAATTCCAATTAGGTTTGAAACTTCCTTGCTTATAAAATCATTGCAGTGATCAAAAAGAATCTTAATTTTTGTTCTCTCGTGATAATCAGAAATAGCTTGTGATTCCGGAATAATCAGTACAATTTTCTGCTTGTTAGTGCATGGCATTATGAACTTCTCTGTGACTTTACTCAGCTGCCTCTCAAGCTCTAGCAGTGTGTGATGATCATTCATTCTCTTTCCTATTTGTTGATTTTTTTATATTTTCCCCTTTGAAATGAAATCTTGCTACTTTTGCTACTCTTTTCCCCCACCACTGAACAGAAGAGGTGGAGAGAAGGGATAAAAGAGATGTGGGTTTATCCCAACGGAGTAGTAATAATAAATTCATGAAACATAAGAATTCATTGGTAATTTTGAGGGCAAGAAGAGCTTTCTGCTTGAAGGAAGGACTCCCTGAAAAGAGTATAGGTGGAAATATTCCAAACAGCGTTAGTAGCAACTATTAGTTCAATTTTTTTAGGAGACTGGTAAAGTGCCTAATAGCTCTCCACAGTGGAAGATGTTTCTGGATATTCATTATTTAAAAAGTTTTTTTCTTTAATTCAACACCATTTTTTTTTTTTTAGCTATGCGTTTTTGCACATCCTTAAGCAGGTCTTTTCCATTCTTTCTATTTACAAATTCTCCAAGACAACGTGACCCCATTTCATTGTTGCTAGCTTCAGCTTTCATCTGCATGTGTCCTGAAATTCCACATGCTCTGTACATTTATTGTACTTTGAGGTCATCTGCCGAGCCTTGGGCCTGTAATTTTTTCAAATAAATACTCACTTAAGCTTAAGTATGTGTCTTAGTGTTGGTAGACCAAGATTTTGGATAGCAAGCTTTTGGGCATGGATGCTATGTTTCTGTGTTTCAGCAATTAGTACACTAATCCTCTTGTAAGCTATGAGTGCTGCTTTGGCAGAAATAACGCGCTAATAGTAATGGGATCTGGATCTTTATGAGTACGTGTTGTGGACAGATTTTGTCTCATCATAGTTCAGCATATCGTGACACTTGTTCAAGAGTGTCTGAACCCGTTGGGCCCCTTGGGTCAGTTCAGCCAGCATACAGAGTTTAGAACAAAATCCAGATAACTGAGGTGCCACAGATGTGACTTTTGCATACAATATTATGAGTCGGACATAAATAAAGAGCGTGTAAGAGGGACCTTGGCATTCAAATCCCTGTGGACCATCAGCCTGTGAATGAACTGGGGAGAATCACTGACAGTTCCCCTGGTGCAGTGTGTAATCTGCACGTTGGAGTGGTTCTGTCTGTTTGTACTCTCGTCAGTGTCTGGGAGCGACAGTGTTTTCTGGGACTGTAAACACACCTCCCGTCACAACAGAGCCGTGAGTCTGGGGCAGGCTGGAGGTGCCAGAGTCATTGCCAGGTGGTGTCTGCCCAGTCATTTGTGCCTCACGCCTTTTGCTTTTTAATGGCTTCTCTTTCCGGCTTCCTCTTTTGTAACTTTGTGATAGTTCTTGAAGATTGCAGTCCAGTCCAGGTGGAAACAGCAATGGCACCTGGATGTGGTTGTATGTATTCTGAACCTGATGACTCCTGTACAGATGTGGAA